CAACAAGTGATAGGACAAGAGGAAACGGCCTCAACCTGCAGCAAGGGAGGCTCAGGTTGAAAATTGGGAAGAATTTCTTCACTGAAAGGGTTGTTAAGCATGGAAACAGGCTGCCCAGGGAGGTGGTGGAGCCACCATCCCAGGAGGAGTTAAAGAAACGACTCGATGTGGCACTCAGTGCCCTGGTCTGGTGACAATGTGGTGATCAGTTAAAGATTGGCCTCGATGATCTTGGAGGTCTTTTCAACTTCAATGTGATACTTCCTCCACACATTACTGCTCAGAATACAGAGAAAGGTCAAGAAAATAAACAGGTATTTGTATAAATCAGTGCACTCCTCCCTTGCATTTTGTAGGACTTAGTATCTGCACCATCTGTGTGAGAACTCAGGACATCATCACTGCAAATATCATTCAAGAGAATTTTAACCTAGGAAAGTTACCTTATCAGCTATGATCATGGAAGTTTTTGGGGAAAAGTCTTCATCACTCTTACTCTTTTCAGACTGCATTTGCATCACTCTTCAGATTTACAAAAGCCACACTAATTAACGCTAGCTGTATCAAAGGAAAACTGCCATCAAGTATGTCACAGGCTTGGGGGAGGTCTCCAAGACACTCTTGAAATAATCTTTGAAAACAGGGGAGCGACTGATCATAGAACATTTTAACAGTTTATACCTCTCATAACAGTGAAATACTAATTATCCTTTAAAAGTCAATATATAGTGCTCTTGGATGGCCTTAAATAGCATGCCACACAGCACTGCTGCTGTACTGAAACTCCATCCCCAAAGCAGGGGGACCTACCCCACGGATAAAAAACAGAGTTTAATTTTGCAGCCAATTAAAAAACCCAAAACCAAAGGAGGGTAGGAAACCCACATAATCTCCCAACAACTGTGAAAATTTTAAAGTTCAAAAAATTTCTAATAATACAAGTAGCACTATGCAAACATGTAGAATTGGTTTTTGCATTAATTCTTCACTTCCTCCAAAATGCCCATTGGAGTCAAAGAAGATAGAGGCAGTTTGACTAAATTATCTGTAGGAAAGCACACACAAAAGGTGCATGTGGCATATTATTAATTGGAAAAGAGCCTTGAAAGTTAGTCTGTTTCATGTCTGGTTTGGACTACAATACAAAATCTGTTAGGTGACAACTACACAACAATTTAAAACTTTATTACTTTACCTCCTAAAACTGCAGGAAATGCCCACTTCCTCAGAAACACAAGCCAGTTAATACAGGCTGAACTGCAGTTGCTAGAAAACTTAGCTCGTACATTCTTGCATCCGTAGGTATCAGAACACTCCAGTGAAAATCATTATTCCTTCTCTGCAGCCAGACAGGCCACGCTGTACCCAAAGTACTGAACAGCTGCAGTGAAGCCACAAGCAAAGCTCGTGCCTGGCAGGGGAGGTCTCTGGCAGCGCTGTGGGACACAACCTCACTAACTGCCTGGGGAGCAAAGCAGTAACCCCTGACACTCAGTTCAGTAAAGCTTTACTAATTCAGACATCTGTCTAACAAAAATTTTAAAGTATTTATTTTTACCTAACCAAGATTCACAACATGATGTACAGAAAATTACTTCAAAGAGTGGATGATTTTAGCATCAAAATAAAATCAATTTATTTAGATGTATGTACATACATGGACATGCATACAGAAGCACATGCCAATACCAGCAACACTGCAAACTCATTCTCAGTGGTCAGCATGGTGCAGCAGAGATATTGTTGGATTTTATAGAAAAAATTTAGGATTTTATAGAAAAAAAAGGACCCTTTTATCTGAGCAAATACCCACAGAAAGCAGATATGAAACTGAAGTCCAAGTGACACCTTCATCCCTTATTCTCTTAACTGTCCTCCTCAAACTGCTTGCCTGTGTGGAAGTGATTGAAAAGGAAAAAATGAAACACCTATCAATGCATAAAAATAGTTTCACCTAAGAATTAGAAACCTCAACAGAAATAATCTCTAAATCTTGACTCTAAAAATCAAATTGCCATAATAGTAGTTGCAGGTACGCATCTATTTCTGAATGCAAAAAAACAGTTACCAGGAGGCAAACTGGAGATAAGCCAAGATCAAAAGGTGCCTTCCAAATAAAACTATTCTATGTGTCTATGATTCCAGTATCAACAAATGTATTGTGCCAGACAAACAAAACAAAGGGGCATGTTGATGATGCATACACTTCAAAGCAAGATCTTATAAGTAATGATCAAAAGCTTTTATTTTGTGCACAAATTTCACAATATCCCCATTATGTAATGTTAAATAGCCACATTTTCTGAATACCTGACAACTTTGAGATGTCACTACCATTTAAAAAAAAAATCCAGCTGGTATTTTGAGAGTGAGGATATATACATAGCCGAAACTTTCATAAAGTGGGAAGAGAGCCCTTGAACCTTCTGATATTACAATTTTATTTACTATCAAGGTAATACTTCATCACTATTGTGCATTTTAATCTGTCCACTTTCATTTTTGTTTTTGGTGGGGTTTTGTTTGTTTGTTTTTTAACAGTAGCCATTTTTCATCAAATTGTTGACTTCTTTTTGGCTCTGATGTTTCTTTACAGTAATGAAGTGACTATGTTCTCTAGGTATCAGCAACATTTTTTGCAGTAGATTTACAGTAGCTGCAAAGAGCACCTTTTCGTGGTATTTTCCCAGCACACTGCTTGGGACAGACGGAACTGTTTGGAGCTGTCCCTGGACAGGCAATGAAACACGGGCACATTCTGATCCAGATGCTGAGTATTCTATAACATGTAAAAACTGCAGTGCAGCTAATCCCATAGCATTTTGCTTTCCCTTGGAAACCCGGCTCACCCACATTAATGTTTCTAAGATTGTTCTGGCTTGTTCCAAATTAACTCTCAACTCTGATGTACTCTAAGCCAATTCCAATTCCACATGCTGTGCACACCTGCCGGGATTTGGAAAGACCTTTGCATTACGGAGATTGCGGTTTCACTAGACCTTCCACCTTCCCGGACGGCACAGCAGCAGCTGAAAGGTCCCGCAGCTCCTGGCAACGAACACCTCCCGGAATGGGGCCAGGTTCGTTCCGCCCCAGTCCGCCGAGCCGAGGATTTTACGCCTCGCTCGGGTTAACAGCAGACCCCGACACGGGCGCGTCCGCCCTCCCTCCCCGCACGCCAAAGCTGCACCAGAGCCACCGACTCGGGTTACGCGACAGCTCCTGCCGAGGCACGGCCGGGCGAAAGCCGCCTCGACGAAGCCGCTGCCGCCGCTCCAGGCAGCCGAACCGAGGCACGGCCCGCCGGGCCGCGGTCGCCGCCCCCGCGGGGCCTGTCAGGCGCCGGGACCCCTCCTGAGCACGGCCCGTCCCATCCGGGAGCGCCGCGCCGCCCCGGGCCGCGCGCCCCTCGCACGCCGCTCACCTGGGGCTGTCCGGGGCTCTCACATGGCGGATCCCGGCCGGCCCGGGCCGCTCCCAGCGCCGCTTCCCGCCCGCTCCCACAGCCGCTCGCACCCGGAACTGATTCCGCTGGCGGCCGTTCCGCTTCCTGGCGACGCCCCGGCAGCGGGCGGTGCCCCCGGGCCGCTCGGGAGCCCGGGCGCTCCCCCCCGCCGGCGTCGGGCGCAGCCGCCCCGGCAGCGCGACTCCTCACGAAGGCAGAAGGCTCTGAGCATTGGCTGCAGCCGCTGCGTACGCGGGCAGAGCTCTTCCGAGAACTCTCACGGTGTGCAGCTCCAGAAGAGAACCCAGAGCCGTACCCCGACGGGCAGTCGCAGATGCAGCGAGGGGGGTTTTGCGGGAGGACATCCCCCACTCCAGCTGTTAACTGCCACCTTTACTGAGCAAGGAATTCAAAAGTTCAGCTGTCTTATACTGGCCTTGGCACTTACAAAAATCACTTCAGCAAGCATGTGCTAACTTTTCTTTTTGCGTTATCCTGCATATGCTTGTAGGTCAGGTAGTGCAAGGATTCAGTTTATGAACCGGACAGTTCATGTACTGGCTATCACGAACTACTTGAAAACAGTCCGAGTGACTGGTGCCAGTAGGTCCTGCTGGGATATCCACCCGCTCTAACCAGACACCATTCTGTCTTCTGGAGGTATGTCTTTCTCTCCCTTTAAGATACAGAACAGAATCTTCCTACATTAGGCATTGAATGCTGATCAAATAAAACAGTGGTCTGGGAAGCATCCTGGCCAGGGCACAAATAACAGAGTTAAAGAACACAGAGACAAACTGTATTTGTTTACTCAGATAAAAAGCACTCAACTAATTCCGAACAGGCAAAAAACTTCGGGCTTATTCTTCTGTGTTCAGTAAATGTAACCAAAAGAGAAAATTAATCTTCTTGTACCATATTCCATTTGAATTTGCTGAAGACTGTGTTACATAAACATTGACTTCTCTGGGTACTGACTGAACATACTTTCAATGAGAACGAGTTCATTTTTCGCTTACATAGTAAGCAGCGGCTGGGACAGTTCCACAAGGACTGAGCAGATGGAGGCTGGACAAAATCAAGTGTTCAGTGTAAGTACCTAAATTTAGTGAAGGAGAGAAAGAAGGAAGGTACCTCATAGGAAGGTAAGAGAAACTTAATCTTTAATACTTTTCACAGCATGGAATTTCCTTCATACTTAGACAAGAAAAAAAAAATCTATGTTATCTGTGCCTACTCCAACTGTACCAAGAGGCCTTTTGGACATGTGGCTGCTGCAACTATGAAGTGAGTGTTCTGGAATTTTCCTATCAGCGTGTACATTCTCTATTGTAACTTCAGAGATCACCATTCTGCAAAAAAGCAGATACAACAAAACCTGTTTGACAAATTTGAACTAGCATGGAAGCCAATTACCTAAAGCAGCAAAGAAATGGGTCTAATTCCACAAATTCATCAAACTTACTGTGTCATAAAAATCAGGTTTTAGTTTAATGTTATCTTAGACTAGGCTGGCATGTTATCATTATTTCAAGAAGACACATTACTAGATACACTTTTTAATATATTTAATAAAGTTATATATCAACAACTCTTGGATTTTTACTTTTGAGCACTTATTTTGGCAAAGTGAAATATTAAATACTAGTACTAGACATGCATTCCTTTCATTCAAGCTTAAGAAAACATTTACAAAGTTGACAGATAACATTTATTAAAACATGTTATAGAAAAAAAGGGGCATGGGACTCTTCTATAAGAAGAAAATATTGAACAGTAACATTAAATTAAAACCATGCTGTACAATTAGGACAGCAATATTTATAGACAAAACTATCCAACCTCTGCAATACAGGCATAACATCTCACAAAATATCAAGATATGCAAATTTACTATTATAAATGACTTGTTTAGAATAAAAACTTATAGCTCATTAAGGAAGATTCACTTGACTTGCATAAACAGTTACATTTCTGAAAGAAATATGGAATCCCATGAATTAAAAAAAAAAAAAGGAGCAGCAATCGACAGACACAGGCTTGAAGCAAAAATCAGAACTTGCAATTTAATCACATTAAAAATATACCATCTTCTCTTCCAGCATCTTCCCCTAGGCCACTGACAGTTTACAGCTAATAGCTAAAGAAGCCAAGCTACCCAATGAAGCATTTAAAAGACAAAAAAACCCCAACTTTCCTTTGTTGCTTTGAGAAGGGTCCTAATTCTATTATAGCAAAACACTCAATGTACTGCTGTGGGCTCTCATAATTCAGAGACAGGTCATCTTGCTGGTACCCAGGCAAAAGTATTGAGATTACAAATCCTGATATGCCTCCTTTCTTTCATGATCAATAACACTGGAATGCTCAATACATCAGCCTTTGATCATCTGCCGTGCTTATGATACAGGATGGTTTCTCAACCTTAGACACACCTCAGATGAAAAAAGCTGTAACCAAAAACTGTACTGACAATATCTTCTAGGGTCTATCTGCTCACCCATAAAACTAACAAGGAAACTTTAAAAAATGAAACAACAAAAAAGCACCCCGCAAACCAACACTGGTGTGTGAAACAGGAACCTTCTCCCTCAAAAGGGTCCAATATACACCTAAGCAGATTTTAACCCTGCTAACAGTTGAATTTTCAGAATGGCAGTTACACAGATTCCATGGTAATTAACATCATAGTTACAAAATGGAATGAAAAGGAACTTAGCTGTAGTACCATTAAGTCTTCCTACCACTGCTAGGACAATGAATGGCTTCAAAGCAGCAGGAAAGTCTGAAAGCCACCTGGGTATACCATATGGCTGGTTTTCAGAAGACACTCACTTTACTACAGCCAACAGCCACATCATCAAAGGTAATGAAGCATACGGGAAGATTAATGAAATTCATCATATACATATGCAGTCATATTATATATATACATATATATATATATGGATTGCTTCCCTCCTCCCCACAAGTAAGAAATAATTTTTCATACCTTGAACAAGACCCCTCCATTAGCAAAGATCAGAAGCTTGACAGAAGCTGCATCTGTATGTCTTGGCTTGCTATGTTCAACTGCACTGGCCACCAGTGGCAGGGACTGCAGGGGTGATGTGTGGCTAGAGTTTGCAGGCTGCCCTGCACTAGTCAAAAGAAGTTCAGTGTGCACAAAAAATGGATGTGAACAATCCACTGTAAGCCAAAATCTCAACCAGAGGTGCACATAATGCTTCTGCTTAAATATACTTAAGGAAAAGTAGCAGCTGCTAGCAAGAGGTGCATGGAGACACATGGAGAACATACTCATGGATACAGGTGAAGAAACTGAAGAGCTGCTCTTGGGAAAACACCTGAAGAAGTCACTGAGAACATGTATAGACACAGTCACAGAAGGACACACTCCCTGCCTGAGAAGATTCACTTCTAAGATGACTTTGGCCTACAGTTAAGCCCTGCTAGAGCAGGTACACCTCTGAAATAACTGAGTTCCACAGAAGTACCAAGCTGGAACAGACACGTACATCCCTGAAGGGACTGTGGCCCAGTGTCACCATGAATAGTGACACTGACCAGGCCAAAGCACCAGAGGACGCCCACTAAGAAACGAAAAGCACCAGACAAGGAAGTGTGCATATGACCTCAACCTCCTCTGTGACCTGTCACCTTACTAAAGGAAATGGAAGGAACTGAGTACAACTCTTGGTGAAAGCAAGGAAAACTGAGAATACAAAGGCAGGGAGAAGAGGCAGGGAGAAGAGACTTAAGCTGAGCCTGAGGAAGATGGTTTAAGTGATATTTTATCTTCCTCCCCCAGTACCTGAACTGGTGATTAGAAGTTTGACAAAGGGCAATAAACTGAGTTCAAGAAAAATACCACAAGACAACTGTTTCACCTGTGACATGCAAAAGTAAGGATTTTAGACATGTATCTCAAGCTGTCCTTAAATCATCAGTCCTCTCAACCTGATCTCATGACAATCAGACGAGTATTTTCCTGCAATCAATTGGTTTCATGTAAATTAACAGCAGAAAGCCAAGTGCTACAAAAATCAGTGGAGCAACATTTGCTGGACTTTCAAGACAATGCCATAATATGGAGTAAAACAGCAAGAGGCAAATACTAAAAAGTTACTATTCATGCTAAGTCATTAAAAAAGGACATGGTTCTACAATTTCATCTACTGAACCTGTTATAAAATCTTTAAAGTGTCTCTCGCAGTACATTTGATTTTAAAGCTTTATTTCAAAGTAATCTAACTGCAAATAGAAGTAACATTAAACCTTGAAATATCCCATATAAAAGTCATTCCAAGCTGGTAAAAGAAACAGTTTTGCTGGCAGCTCTGTAGGATGGTCTGAGTTCAACTTTTTTTTTTTTTTTTTTGGACCACAGTTTTCAGACTGGTGTTTCTGTCCAGCCTTTTTTATGGTTAAATGGGAAGAGGCACCCTTAACCATTTTATGCAAAACTGAAGCAACAATTGGAAAGGGGCTGAGAACCAATGTAATATACAAGATCATTCTTGAAATGAGTATGAGAATAAACACCCTGGACAAGTTCAAGGCCAGGCTGGATGGGGCTCTGAGCAAACTGGCCTAGCTGAAGGTGTCCATGCTTATGGCAGAAGGGTTGGAAGTAGATGACCTTCAAAGTCTCCTTCCAACCCAAACCATCCTATGATTCTAACGCCTTCCTTCAAATGTGATGATGGTACTTACAGAAATGACACCATGTATGTGGTAAGGCCTTGGAGAATGGAAAAATAGGGCCACCGAGTGCGAGAACCCTTTCCTCTACCCTCGTGTAAACAGGCAAGCATTATAGTATTTTTTAGTATTAAAAAGGACAGTGTTAGCAGTGTGTAAACAAACCATAGAGGGAATATAATTTCTAAGTTTAAAAAACATACTTATAAAGTATTATGGTTTGGTTTTTTTGTTGTTTTTGTTTTTGGAGGGGTTTTTTTTGTTTGTTTGTTTGTTTTTTTTGTGGTTTTTTTGTGGGTTTTTTTTTTTGGTTTTGTTTTGTTTAAATACAAAGTGCTATATATTAAGCAGGTTACAGTGTTAGTGAGCAAAATCCCTGTTTCGGTACCTTGGTCACAAAGGTTAAACATGGCCACCATGTTATTTGTAGAGTTCAATTAAGTGCTAAGAACAGGAACTCTGTGGTGCTGATCATTCATGCCCATTGCCAGCAATGGGTTCATTGTACTTGGGAACATCTGTTTTAACAAAATTCCATATGAAAAAATATTTGAAGCATTAGGAGATTAATAATTAAGAGCCTCTTAAAAAATCATGTTTTTAAGTAGAATGCCAGTAAAGAAATTACAGTAATTACAGCTCACTGAGTAGAAAACCCTCAGCTTGCAGCAGACATTCATGATACAGTTCAGTTGTATCTTAAGACAATTTTAACAGGGAGTTCAAAAAAGAATCTGAAGTGTAATAATCTTTGTGTGGTTTTGCTTCACCATACAGGGTCATCTGTTCAGTACATTATCCTGCACACAGCAGTACCTAACATAGAAATTGGGGTCAGATAGGCTTAGGTCTTTAATGCAGGTTAACTTTTTCCCCATGTGGACAGCACTGTACTTGGTTATCACCTCTTTCTATTATTTTCTATGTATGTTCTTTCCTTGTCATATTTCAGTAAGCTACAAAGAAGCTTTTGCTTACTAAGAAGCAATTGCTTTTGCATTGGACTGCATTAAGCTTTCAACTCCAAAATCCTGTTGTCACCTTTACAACTGATGCCTTTACTCAATCTGCAGAGCTGGCAGCATCCCTTAGAACTATACACACTCCTCAATCTATCTCCATGAATGAGAGCCCCCCACACAGATCCTAATCTTAACACAGAACAAGTGTCACTTTCCCAGCAAAAATACCAGCTTCAGCCGTAAGCATGGTACCATGTTCTGCAGTACCATTAGAAGATCCCAAATCACATACTTCCTACTATTTTCCACAAGCAACTTCAAGGAAGCAAACAACTCTGCTTGTGATCACCAGTCACAGTAGTTCAGTACCAAGAATCAGTATTATATACTATTCAAATAGTAAAGAATTAAAAGTATAAATACCTATCAATGACTATGTAATTTTCCTAAAGCAGGTTTCTAAAACTAGATAGCAGTTCTCAAAGAAGTTTTTGTACCAATAACAAGTCAGTTCATGAATCCAGAGTTTGGTACTTGCTACTGTACTAAGCCACAAAAATTTGAACAGAAATTTACACTTTAAATATTTGATTATTTTGACTAAGTTCCAAATGTTACATTTTACTTTTAGTTGGTGTCTTATTTTTTAATAAGACGTATTTATTACACACACTTCTAGAAGCTCTCACAACATAGTAATTAAAATCTAATGAAGTCAAGAGTCATACAGCATTAGACCCTATAACAGCAAGTATACTTAATATATACTGAAGTTTATATAGTGAAAACTCTAAGTGCATTACAGACTCTAAACACAAATCAACACAAAATTAGACATCTGTTTTACTGAAGATAAATTTTAAAAAAAGAAGATGGATAACGGAAAACCAAACCACCTTTACCACTGCCTCTCATTAAGCAATACAACAAAGGCTACTGAATGATGCACACTACCTAATGATGCTTCACCTTGAAGTGGAATTATCTTTGTTTTTCTTCATTTAAATGTGAATCATATAAGCCAGTTTGGTCATCTTAGTTTTCTTTTCCATTAAGGAGTACTACCTGAATTTCTCGTCCATCTAAGTATTTTCAGGATTTTTGTCAATTTAGAGCTGAGTTTTACTGTGAATTTAGATGACTTGGAAATACAAGACGGCTTCTAAATACTGCTGTGATTACAACCAATCTCAAACCTCATTTTGCAGGCACCTTTCATATTAACCACATGCACTTCCCACAATAAACACCTGGAGTAATATTGCAGGAAGCAAAATACATTTGATCTGTTTATACCAGTGTACTTATTAAAACTTTTGTTTTGAGAACATACAATAGCAAGTACCAGACATTATTTGCATAATTAGTTTATTTTTCTTACTCTACTAAACAAATGTAAGCACTAATGTCTTAGTTCATCTCAGTAGTACTCTGCTCAGCTTTAGAAGCCTGATAGGACTTGGTACAAGAGGTCACGTGCCGATGAAAACTGTCCCGCCACATAAATCTTTTCCCACAGATGTTACACTCATACGGTTTTATGCCTGTATGAATTTTCATATGGCCTACAAGATGGTGTTTCATTTTGAATTTCTTACCACAGACACCACAGCCATAAGGTCGAAGACCAAGGTGCATACTCATATGCCGATCTCTCTGACTTTTGTGTGTAAAGCTTTTTCCACACTGACAAGGATAGAGCTTATCGGCGTGGGAGAATCCAGTGAGAGACGTTTCTTCTTTAATCCCAGCAGCCATATCAATGCTTTCACCATAGCCTGCTGCCATCATAAGATCCTGTCTGTGAGCACTTAAATTTCCATCTGCCCTTTCACCGGAAAATTCTTCCATAGACGAGCCATAGAAGTCAACTTGTTCATCATAATTACTTTCATCTGCCTGTTCATCAAATTCTGCTTCCATCTTTTTGTCACCTATGTGAAAATCTTCAACACCTGAAGACTGGATTGAGTGATCTGCCTGGATGGTATTCATGGATTCAGAAACTTGGTGTTCATCATAAGGATTATCAACGCCTTCACACTCTTGTTCAAACCTTTCTGGTTTCACATGGATCCACCGCTTGTGAGACATGATACTGGGTTTGCTATACATTGGTCTGCTGTACTGGTACTCTGCACTATCACTAGTTCCCTCTTCCCCATCCTGACTGGTCATTCCAGTGCTAAGTCTGTCGTGTTCTGTTGAAGAATTACTGGGAAGGTACTCGTGCTCTGTCAGCTGACATGACAGTTCATCTTTAGAGCTCTCTTCTTCATTTTCACCATCCCTTAGTTCCTGCACTTTGTGGAATTCTGTCTGTCCTCCAGAGCCAAGTTCAAACGTTTCAACAAGGCCATTGTAGCTACTACTGCTTGGGGACTGATGGTCACTGCCATGATTCATCTTCTGACACAGAACTGTTGGGTTTCCCTCAAGCACTTCTGTGCACTTATCCACTACATGCCACATCTGAAGGAAACTTGCTGCTGTCAGATAACTAACAATTTCTGGTGCAGGCATTACCAGCCGGCCTGTATAGGTAGACAGAAGAATGTTTTCAAATACTCTGGGATTCATCACATCAGGCAGGACTATTCGCCTGCTGTTTTTCAGGAGAACCTGATCACAGAAGTAAGGTGAACTAGCTGCAAGAACAGCTTTATGGGCTCTGAAGAGATGGCCCTGAACCACAATGGACACATCACATAATTGTCCTTGCTGGCGCTGCTGGTTTAACTTCTGCAGAATGGTGCTAGAAAAATCTGGAAATTCCACTCGAAAGGAGCTTGACCCAGACTCCATTTCATTACAAATTTAGTGTTGTGCTGCAAGAAAAAAAAAAAAAAAGAAAAAAAAAAAAGAAAAAAAATAGAAATAAAATTAGAAATTCTGCTTGGTCAAGTACTGACCTTTCCACGTTCTTCTACTTTTCTTTTCTTAACAGACTCACATGGAACTCAACCTTTTGCCACCGTTGTATTTCTCTCAAGCCACCTCATTTCTCTCTTCTGACAGCTGCATTAAGGCCATAAATTGCTATGCCAGCATATTTTGTTGTGTTTCTTCTCTTCAAGAGGACTCATCAACTACAGCAGGAGCTACAAACAGCAAGCTATCCAGTTGGGATAGACTAAGCATTTCAAACATGAGTTTAGGCTGATGAAACCATTATTTCATGGAATTATACAGTAGAGTTCTAACTCCAGGATGTCCCACAGTTTGTACCAGCATACAAAAGATTTTATATTTCAAATGCCAACAAAATCAACTCATTTATCCCCCAACAAACACTGATTTTACTCATGAAATATTTCACTTAAGCTCAATTTTTCAAAAGCAACTGTATCAACTGACAGGATGACACTGGAAGCACAGGCAGAACCCCACTAAGAGTAAGGCTTATGATCCTTCTCATGTATTCCCCTATTGTTTCACTAACTGAAAAGTGGAACAGCAACAGCTTGTACAGTTTTTAATTCCAAGCTTATTGAGATATTTGGGTTAGTGCTAGGATTATAATGTTCATACAGAATTTAAAGGGTCAATCAAGAAATTGATACCTTTGCTGCACAGAACTTTTCCTGCTTGTTCCTCATGTATTTGTAACAACATAACAATTACATGACAAAATCTCAGATAAGAGCTCCCAGATTTTCACATCTGTATTCTCACATAATCCAGATATTTTACCAAAAGATTAACAGCCCGTTTAGCAGTAATACAACTTTATCAAATGCATACGTGAAGTCTTAAATTGAATTTGAGATAAATTTGCATGTTACTGTAATTAGAAACGGCAGAAATTTAAATGCCACTATGAAAAACCAACATTAACTGCTTGAGTAAGTTAAACCTGTGCTATTTTTCTATTTGATAGTGTGTAAATTGAGTGCTATGGGATTCCTGAAGAGCCATGGAGCAGCAAGTGGTTTCTGTGGTCAAGTTCCATGAAGTTGCCACCCACATAATTGCAGAAGACCACCTTTACATTTACTGTCTTCAGCACTCCTCAGGTTCTTTGCCTCAAAGCACCAACCTCTTCAGAACTGAATCAGCTGCCAATACTTTTCTGGTGAGCAACGGAATACTGTGCCTGCCAGTTCAATTGTTAATTTTTCTTACCACTTTGCTTAAAACAATTTGACATAATTATGTAAGTATTTCAAGTTATCTTATACCTTGCGAATATTACATCAATTTTTTGAAGCAATCAGATTTTCTTATACAGATGCAGTTCCTTACCTCCCTTCAGAATATTCTCAGATTTAAGATTCTATTTTTCAATATTTGCCTACAAAAAAAAATAAGCCTTCAGAAGATGTTCAACTGAAGTTTAAATACAGATGCCTATAGAATTTATATATAATTAGTGATAATCTAAACTGCCATCTTTCAGCAGGGAGCCAGCATGTGACCACGAAAACATTTCCAGATGATAGCAGACTTTTTTGTATTCTCAGTTGTCATGCAGACAAAATGTAAGTAAAATATTTTCAATTAGCAAAGCCATACAAGTCAAGCAAAGCGGTTTTCCAAAGGGGTATCACTCCCTCCTTCTACAATCTACTTTGTTTTGCACTTTTACTCCAAACTTATAAAGAATAAAGTCTTTCTACTTCAATTAATAATAATTAAAAAAACCAATCTCCATGCTGGAGCGTTGAGTAGAACATGCAAGTCCCACTTAAGTTGCTTTAAAATACCATTAGCTCTAGTAAGTGCTGGCAGGGAGCTCTTCCCCTGTCCGGGCGCAGCCCCGCGGGTCCTGCTCTCCCCCCGCGGTGCTGCCGCGCCGGGCCCGGCCGGGCCCCGCTCCAGCCCGCGGCGCCGGGCAGGCCGCAGCGCCTCCCGCGGACCCGCCACAAGGCTCCGGCCGGAGCGGACCCCGCTCCCGGTCGCACCGGGGACACCGACCCTGCCCGACGGAGCGCGGGACCCGCGGCCGCGGGGCGTGGGAAGGCCTCGCGCGCCGCCCCGCCCCAGCGCGGACCTGCGGGCCGGGCCCGCCAGCAGCACGGCCGCCCGGGGTCCACGAGCGGCAGCGCCTCACCTGCGGGTCGCGGCGCCTCTCTCATAGCGGGACGCCGTCGGTGCGGCCCCGGCCCGGCCCTGCCCGCGCCCACCCCGGCCCGCACCGGAAGCGGCTGCCCCCCTTCCTGCAGGCACTTCCGCGTCCCGGTCACGTGACGCTCGCCCGGCCCTTCCGCTCCCCTCCCGCAGGGACTCTGACCCGGGGCGGCGCGGCGCCCCCTGCTGGCTCCGCTCGGGAGCGATGGGTTTGAGCGGAGCGCTCAGTAGGAAAGCTCGCACCCCAAAACCCCTGGGCGAGCTGTCCCGTCCGGCCCCGCCCTGTCCCTTTGCGCCGCAGCTGCTCCCCAGGGCAGTACTGTCAGCGCTGCTGGGAACACTGCCAGGAGGGGACCACCGGACAGTACAACTGAAGCCCGCGGCCCGCGTGTTCCGCACTGATGCCTGCTGTGCTGGGTCACGGGGCTTGTCCCACAGCCGAGCCGTTCCAACGGGCACACGACCAACACAGCGGTGTGGGAGCCCTGGCACGGCTCGGTCCCGCCCCGCTGCGGCCCGCAGGGGGCGCCGCTCCCCTCCCCGGGCCCCGAAACCGCCCCTTTCTGCGGGAAAATGCCCCAAATAAACTGATAAAAAATTGAGTATTAATTATGCTTAATCTTTAATATTTTTAGATAAAACGGGCGACAATATCTCAGTTTTTAAATGCATCACAAAGACTTCAGCTGGGCCGGCCCTGCCGGTTGGTGGGCAGCCGTCGGTGCAGCCCGGGCTGGCTCCGTGTGCGGCGGCGGCGGCCTCGGCAGAGCTCCGAGCCGCGGCCTCGGCAGAGCTCCGGACGGCGGCCTCGGCAGAGCTCCGAGCGGCGGCCTCGGCAGAGCTCCGAACGGCGGCCTCGGCAGAGCTCCGAACGGCGGCCTCGGCAGAGCTCCGAACGGCGGCCTCGGCAGAGCTCCGAGCGGCGGCCTCGGCAGAGCTCCGAACGGCGGCCTCGGCAGAGCTCCGAGCGGCGGCCTCGGCAGAGCTCCGAACGGCGGCCTCGGCAGAGCTCCGAGCGGCGGCCTCGGCAGAGCTCCGAACGGCGGCCTCGGCAGAGCTCCGAACGGCGGCCTCGGTTCTGCTCTGTTCTGCTCCGAGCCGCAGCACGAGGTTCTGCTCTGGTTCTGCTCTGAGCAGCAGCACGAGGTTCTGCTCTGTTCTGCTCCGAGCCGCAGCACGGGGTTCTGTGGCCCGGCTCTCAGCTCGTGCCCCTGGAAATCTCACCGAGTGAACGCCATGGAAGTTCCTGTGGCTGAAGTGGAGCAGGAGAAAGTGCTAAACCCCTGGGGTAGGAGGGAGAGCAAGCTGTTCATGGGAGCTGAAGGAGTTCTCCTAGACAGAAGCCATCCCCACTTTAGCAAATACTATATCTGAGCTGAATTTGGTCTCTTGCCTGTATTTTCAACTCTGATAGTGCACATCCACGTATTAAGTACATATCCTTCCTACATGAATAGGACTGAAATCCTAATAGAAACTGTAATACACAAAAGAGAAAAGAGAAGGATGATGTTTAACATAACACAATTATATAGTTTTCTCTTATAGGCATTATGAGAATACATGACTTTTGCTATCTTTTTCTTCTTTCCAGCATTTTCTTCAGGAAAAAAGAAATCATGTTTTTAAAGGTAAAATCTGCCACAGTACCAGTTATAATTAAACATGAGTGTGGCATGAAAAGCACTTTGGATTTCCTTCATGTGATCAGTTCTGCAGTCTTCATGTGATAACACTGCCTGCAGGGTCAAGGCTAGTTTGTTAAATCAAAATTTATGTTTCACAAAGAAAGCAAATGGAAACAGCATTAACTAATGTTTGTATGTTTTACCTTTTCCTGAGGTTATGGAAGTTTGGGTCAAATTCATGAATGATCATTCAGCTAAGCTTAGAGACTATATTTTTCTCCCTTGGATGCTTTTCTTATTATAGAATGTAACTCCTCTGTACTCCCTGCTGTGATTAATTTAAATAATTTCTTTTTAAGGCAGTGGGTTTCATACCTTTTCTGTTATAGCAAGAAATGCAGTGTTCTAATAAGTGAGCTGAAAGGGAATTTTTTCTTGCCATTTGACAGGCTGACACAAGTGTCTCTCCAAAGCATACTTGTTTGGATTTTGACATGGAGATAGTCTGCATCAGCTTGTCTTTGTAAACAAAAGGTCTCTGTAACTCTTGCATGACAAGATTCTACAGTTTTATGAGGACAACAGCACTTTAGCTTCACTCTGATGGTGAAAAAATGTCTTTAGGTCTGTTGCATAATGTTGATGTGTTCTGAAAGTTTGTATTCTTGGTACATCTAGTAAGATGACACTGGTTATTCTTTGCTGTATGAGTCAGACTTTAATTACCAAACTACTCAGAAGGGCAAACTGGTACTTGTGGATTCTGTGTAGTTACATAGAAAAGTTTTCTTCTCCAGAAAACTTGAGGTTCGATGCCACAGCCCCTGCTCATCCTCTTGCAGATTTTCAGTATTTTTTTCTTTAATCAGCTTCTTCAGAGTTTTAAAATTTCTTTCTCTAAGTGAGAAGGAAAAATTGATACAGCTGTAATTATGTAGGGTAGGTCATTTGTATGTTATTAGTTTTGGTTTTACATTTGTATAAAATTTTATATTTCAACAGACAGACACTGTCACTAAATGCATTGTAGCACTACAGCTCAGAAATAAAACAATCTATTAATCTCACCATTATATTATTGAAGAATTAAAAAATCAGTGAGCATTGATGGAAGTCTAGGAAATAATTATGTGTGTATCAAACATTTATTGTTTGCTCATAAAAAAGGGAATGCCACAATGATAAGACAGATACACTTTAAAATGTAACAAAAAGAATTGTAAAATTTTATAGCACTCATCAAGAACAGGAAAGTATCCAGTTCCACAACACCTTTAAATTTTAAACAGACACACATTGCAAAATCCCTTGAGCAAAGCTTAAATAATACATTATAAAAATATAAATTTCATTCTGCTTTTCCCCAAAAAGGGATGGCTGTGTGCTGAGAAGACCATCCTGTGCTGAAAATAGACCCCAACATTGATGCGTGCAGAAAACAAGCCAACCAAACAAACCTCCATTTATGATCCAGCTATAGACTTGTTTTTATTGTACTTATAAAATATACATAGCCTTTTATTGAATTGCCTGCTGTCGAAATCTGCAAGAATTTTATTGCTTTTTACTGTCCTGGAGAGGAATAAAGCAGCAGCCTCTGTGTAATTTCATAAGAAGCAAGGACACTAAATCTAATTTTGCTGGATATAGGCTCAATCATAAAAAAACCACGCAAGGACCAAAATTTAGAATTTTGGAGTATGGAGAATCTGTATGTTTCTCCTCACACAGACTGCATTACAGTGCTTTATATTGTAAGCTTTGCATTTATTTATCTCTCATGATGGGTGCATGAGTCTGTTCCAGTGTTACATCAGTCTGCATACTTTAAAGCAGTATCTCCTTTCTTTCACGTTGAAATGGGGTGGAGTAGACTCTGCAATACAATGGGAATAAGGTGGACTTGGCTGTTGAACAAAATGCTTCCCTTTATCTTTTGTCACCTTTCCTCTGAACTTTTTGAGGGATCAAAGCATGACATGCCCAGACTGTCTCCAGAGAAGCCACTATCCTTGAACCTGAAAGTTGGGATGTAATTTTTAAGTAAAATGTGTAGCTTAGGAACTTCTCAACGAGATTCACAGTATGATTCTGTTGGCTGTGTTTCCAGTCTTGGGATCCACTGTGTCTTTCTCAAATTTCCCAGATATCTGAGAGAATGTTGGACCAATATATGCCTAGTTTTTATCACATACTTGCAGGGGTGAAATAAAACTCTTGAAAAATTATTTGACCTCTTATTTGCCAAATACTGGTGTGGAGCAACAAGGTCAGTTTAACAGTTCAAGAAAAAAGTAGGAAGAAAAAGTACTTTTCTATTATAAGTTTAGTAGTTTTACGTGAGGAAAGGACATGCAGGAGCTGGTACTGCCAGGCATGGTCCATCTGCTCTTGCTCTGGAGGGTCACAAAGCACTTCACACTTCAAAGTTCTGATGCAGCTTTGACCTAAGTCCTTGAAACTTTGATCACTGGGAACTGAAGATGTTCAGAATCAAACTGTTAAATTAATAACATTCCAGGACAGACAGTCAAGAA